TTCGTCGACTTCACTGTCCAGTTTCACTTCACTTTAAATTCATAGGCAGTAGATGGTTCTAGATTATACACTATTACAATTGTGTTTGTCGTCCCCCTTCCATGGGATGGCCATGTTAGAAACGACGCATCCAATGGTGAACGGTATTCTATATAGTAATTCACTTCGCCGAGAGGGACTCCTTGGTGGAACATTGGTATCAGTTCAATTGTTAAGCGATCATAGTATCGATCAGTTAGCTCAATATTTACTGGTGTCTCTGGTATAACTGTCAAAAATAAATATATCCATTGAAAAGAAATTCACCAATTTTCAATACAGTCTGTTTAATAGGTCTATAGTTTATTAATCAACAGCATGCATTGTTGGAACTCAGTGAAGTGTGCAAATTATATCGTGGAATACACGCTATACCCTTCTCACAACATCCTGAATATTATATTTTGTGCTGGATTGTAGTTGTTAATCTCTTTAAAAAAATTCACTGTGTTAAATAAAACACGTAATGATTACTAGTATGTGATTATCACGTGAATCACCCAAGTATTATACCACATCGATGAACGTTCTATGCCACGTTCTATGAACGTTCGTGCATACCTCACCATATTCTAGTAGTGGTATATAGGCGGCTGAAATCGCAGGGACCAATGGCATAATAATTATGGGATTCATAACCATATTATTAAGTCATCGGGTTGAAATAACACGTGATTGCCAATGGGTTACGTCATAATATCAAATACAGGATAAGTACGCTAATGATGTCAATTGGAATATATTATCGAAGATAAACATTGAAATTATGATACTTACCCGTTTCATTGAGCGTAATATGATGAATATCGGATCCTAATCTGTTAACACTTTTACACATATACACACCATAATCAGACTCTGGCAATACGTTAAATATCCATAATGTACTCTGCCTTATATTGTCATCTACGAATTCTATGACACGTCTTCTATTACCACCATTGTTGATTTCATTACAATGTTTATACCATGTTATATTAGCAGTTGGCAACGCATCAGCTTCGCATGCAATAGTAGCACCTTTACTGGCACCGGATCTTTTGATATCTTTATTAACTCTTGGAGAATCTGTAAGATAAGTATAAGGCAAAATATAACATTTGAATAATATGATAGCTACCCTGAGAAAAATCACATTCACTTAGAGGCTCTGCACTATATCTGAGGAAATGATTATCGACATTGTGTTTTTTTTTAGATCAGCAACAATAAACTCCACAGTCTGTATTCTAGTAAGGTACTTGCTATTTTGTTTTACAATGATAGTGCACATTTTCTCCAATAACATTGACGTACAGTTCTAAACTGTATGGCAGTTATATATTACTTATATGGTTAAGAAACAACGATTATTGTAACCATGTAATGGTGTGACGTCGGAGAATCGAATTGTACTTGTCCAACTAGTCATTGTAAGAGTGCATTCTCTACACGCAATTTCAATCCATTTTCATTGGCGAGGCGCACTTGCTGAGTTGCGAGGTCAAATCTAGCGTTTCATGTTTGTATGTTCGTACATCTGCCTGTAACTTCGATTTTAAGCATGAAAGTAACATCAATATATATATTCTAATAAATGCCCTTTGTAATTTAAGATGAATGCTAATAGCCTTTTAAATTAGCTTCCTATATCTTAGCATGACTTACAGTTTACAATGATACTGGTAGTATCTGATGAGGTATCTTCTGTATCATCATAGTATTCAATAGTAGCAATACAGGTATAAGTACCGGCATCTGAAGGTTGGATATTATTGAGTTGTGGCGTATCAGTCACTTCTGATAGCGTTATTGTATTGCCATATATATTTGCTAAGGTCCAGGTATATTTAAATGGAGTGGGAACACCAACATTCTGACAAATCATTTCAAGATCTCCACCTTCATCTATTTTGTTGTCAACATTGGTTACCTTTATGGTTACCGTGGGCTTATTTGGAAAAAATAATATTTGCTTTAAGACTACTTGTATTAAACTAACGCCTTTCATTGGCCAGGTATTTCACTGTAATGTGTTATTGATGTTAATATCTCTTAAAATATTTCAGACAAAAACATACGTGACAGTATCTAATAACAATGTTTTGATTTACATTGTATTACAAGCTGTGTATTCCCGTTTCTGTCCCTCTCTGTGAATTCCAGTATATATTCTTTACTGTACAAGTATATTCTCCAGCATCATTTTTTGTGACGTTATTAATAGCTAAATAACTATTATCAACAACTACATGTGGTCCACTCCATTGATAACTATCAGCTGCGGGATTTGCATTGATTGATGTACATTGTATATTAATATTATCTCCCTCTTTTTTGTAATCATTGAAGGTACAGCGACTTCTGGTGGGTCTGTCCATAGAAACAAATTTATGATTCAAATTATAAATAATAAATTATTATCAATGAAAACATGTCACAAAAAAGTTATTGTTTTCTTTTATCCGTCCTTGATTATTACCACTTTGAATATTCACAGGGTGAATAACAGGTTTATCTAGATATTATAAAAACAACATTGTATCATGGAATGTCAAGATAATTAATTTGAAACAATATATAAAGCTAATATAAGGAGTCAAACACTTGAGTATGACAGGTGCAATTTTTGTTTCACGTTGTTTTACCTGTACATATCTCTGCACCATTTTGCATGCCTTTTTTCGCTCAGGTCTAACTTATAATTGTTTCTGGCCACCCCCATGATTTCAAATAGTTGACCCCGAAAGTGTTTTTCATTCTTTACACTGTAAACTAACACTGAAAATCGTATTACCGTCTGACAGGATATCTCACTGGATAGTGTACTGTGTTGTAAACTACATTTATACAATTTCCCATCATCCTCCCGCTGTATTGCTGTATTCCATTGTATTGTAGTTTGACTTGTTGTTCCTGTGTATTGTGCAGTTCCATCTTGTAACTATACCAACACGGCTGGTAACACCCCTTGACTTGCAGAACACTGTAATGATACAGTATCACCATCTATTACTGCATTACCACTTCCACTTCCTGTCACTGAACAACTTGGAACGGTATTTGGAATAGTGGTTTATTTAGATAATATAAACGCCAAGCAAGGATATGCTGTTTGTTTTTCAAGGAAAGTTGCGCTACCAAATACCCGAACTTACTGTTCATAACCTTACGTCGTTTTTTTTGTATTGTTTTGCTAAGACTGACTTTTCAATTCTCCCATCATGATTGCAACGTTTTCTTCAGATTGTACCATTTTTACGAGGGGCGCTGAAAAGCCATCAGTTTTGAAAATCACCTCATGACTGTAAAATTCTAAAAATATATTCCATCATCTTATGATTTCCATGTGGATTTTGGATTGTATTTGAGTGTTGTGCATATTCTAGACTTTGTATTCAAATATCAGGGCTTGAAACGCACCCCTGAAAAGCTTACACGTAAATGAGAGCATAAAACAATGGCAACAAGTGTAATACATTTCAACTATATTAAAATTAACGATACACACGAACTGATCAAATAAAGAAAAATATCTCGTTTTTACTTCGTCATTTTTGAACAAACGATTGGCCGAGAGTAGCATTAAGCGAACCTTATTCGCTATACAGTGAGAATTCACTAATATTTTACAATAATAATAATAATAATAACATTTCAAGCAATAATAACCATTATCACGTGTATCATGCAGTAGCAGTGACATAAAAACATGTAATATTTTCCCAAATACGCTACATCACGATCGATTCCCACGGACGGCACTGTTAAAGCGACGTAACAAAAAGGCCCGAAGTGAATACGAGTATATCCGACGTTACATGACTGGTTATTATTTCACCATGGAAAAAACGAAAAAAGATTCGCAGTTGATATACCACCAAGAATATTTCTACAATTATGACAGACGAGAAACTGGGTTCACCGACAACGCAGAAGTGATTTTTAAAGCGGAGAGGTCGTCACCTGCGCACAATCTAGCTTTCTTGAAAGAGACAGATAACGCTCGCGTGTGTTTTCAGCATAAATATTCCAATTAAAGCTTAACACGTATTTGATTGCGACGTACACATTTTGGTTAGACTTCCTGTGTGATGAAGAGCTACGTTTAGTTTATGAACGTAAAGGAAAGAACATTCAGGTAAACGTGACATAATTGATATCACAATTATAATAATTACAACTAATGCCATTAAATACCTTTTGATATAGTACAATTATTTCTCTAACACCTCCTATTACCAGATAACGTACTGACAGGCAAATGAATGCGCAGTTCAAATATCTGCTTTTCAAGATAAATCTCACCTATAACTGTCAATATTGCCTGCAAATATGGTGGATCTGCATTGAACAGTTCACATTGAAAAGTGTGTGAATTGCCGAGTTGAACATTTGGTATCTGTAGAAAGTATTCACCACTAGATTGGTCTCCTACTATCTGGTATGGATTAAGTGTTAATGTTCCATCTGACAACTGTATATCACCGCTACCAGGTACCACTCTATACCACTTAGGTAACCCACTTGATACTGTACATTTCATTTCCACTGTCTCTCCAACAGGACCAATCAGAATATCAGGGGTGATGTTGTTGCTATTGCTGAAATGAAATGAAATTGTTTTAATGTCATCGTTGTAATGTCCCAATTTGTGATTGCATAATTTATGTTTGCCATACACCTCCTTTTGTAAAATCAGACTCATATATCTCGCGCATGCATGGCGCGACGACTACCGCTCTTTAGGCAATGCTGACACTTGTACGACTTTTGGCTACGATTTTGTAGTGGCAAGTCGTGCCATTTTGGGACACGAACTGGGAGGCTCCCACACTGTTCAAGACCAGTTCACCCATAGTTCACGACGAGTTCACGAATAGTTCACGAATGCGTGCCCGTCAGTGTCCTCATTGACAAGAACTGGCACGACGAGTTCACGCATAGTTTGCGCATAATTTACGCACTTCCCGCATTGGCACGACGAGTTTGCGCAATTCGGACGGTGTCGTGCCAACTTGAACACGCCATATAAACACAGGGAGCCCAGGAACTAAGATCAACTGTACGCACTCCCCATGAGCGCGGGTGGGGGGTATCGGCTGGTGTCTAGTGTAAGAAATAGACAAGGAATGAAGGCTCCAGCCAGCTCACATTTTTTAAACTGGAAAAACAGACGAACAGAACGAAAAATAAAATCTATAAAAAATACCAGGTTGAAGAATATTAGTTGCTTTTTTAAATTTCGCCAAAGCCTTGCCTACATTTTACTACGAAAGCCGAGAGGGGCCTTCCTACTTCCTACTTCGCAGTTCTAACTTCCTACTTCCGACTTCAAACTTCCGAGTTCCGACTTCTAACTTCCGAGTTCCAACTTTCATGGAGAGCAAAGCATTGTGGGATATCGAACACATGCACGTGCGTGGATGGCTAACAACATGGCCGTCAGCAGCCAGACGAGTTGTGCTAGGTAAGTTTATTATTCACGAATTATTTAATAATATGTTGACATGTAAGGGATTGCATTTGTAGTATTATTGTTACAAACCGCTGCAGCAAAAAAGTACCGTCATCTGTAGTGAGTAGTTTCATAGTAGTTTCTATAATATGTGCACAGAATGTTATACTAAATTGTTTTGCATAGGTTATAATGTGAGATCAGCGCCAAAATTATTTTTATATTTATATTATCTTTGCGTTAGGTAGGCAAAGCTTGTCGTATTTATATTGTCTTTGCATTTGTTTATATTCTCCCTTGGAAAAAGAGACCTGGTAATATTCTACCTTTGGACAAGTCCCTACCTATCTGGAAACAAGTCGCCTCGTTGTGTGCCCTGAATATATTCTACTTTGCGACAAGTCCCCTGGTAATTCTCTTATTCTTGTGAGTCAAATATAAGTGAAAACTGCTACCCACACAGATTGATCATCACTGGCATTCACTTATTTTCAGACAAGTATCGAGAAAGTGCTAGGGAAGTTGGTTCCACTAATAGTATGACATGAATATTTAAG